GATCACGCTTTTTGTTTGTTTGTTGGGGGTTTTTTTTGTTTTTTTGTTACAGAATATTTGTAGATGGGAAATGTTTTCATATGGTATCATTCCATTGGAATAAGGAAAATAGTTTGAATACTGGACTTCAAATGCTCGTGATGAATTGTGCATGAATGAGCTACAGCTCAGGAGCTGTTCAGAGAAAATATTCACCAAACAAATGTGAAGAGAGAATAAATAAATAAGAAATTTGTGATCTGTTTACAGACAATTCATATGAAAGAAAAAGCTCTTTGGCTGCATTATTTGGCTGTAGCTGGAGGACACAGATTTCAAAAATGGGCAAGGAGCCTAAGTCCTGTTGTCATTCAAAAATATGATGCCCCTGACTACTGAAAGTGAGACTTAAACACTTTCGAATTTTTAACATTTCTTCCCTAGGTGAACAAGTCCTGAGCTCAGATTGCAGCATCCTCTTGCAGGAATTATAACAAGATGTTATGCATGATATCTAGCATGCATACAGAGACAGAATTTGGCCCTACCTTTAGTATAATTACTTTAGTTCAAGAAGGTCCTCTTCAGATATTATGAAAATCCGAGCTGTTAGAAAGAATGGTGAGGACAACACAGTTGTTAATTGTTAAATTGTTAATTTATTAAACAAATGGGAGCTGTGCACCTCAAATGGTATCAGGAGCAGGACATCATATGGTCTTCCAGGTGATTCAGCATAGATCTGGAGTAATGGTTGCTATGAGGTGAAACACTGTTTAAACTGTTTAAGTGGGCGCTATTAACATATATGCCGACCCATAGACTTACTAATATAATGTCAAGACTGAAAATTTAGCACATAATTGTAATTCATAAGTAAGAGAGGAAATTTGGAAGATCTGGTTCCAGAAATAAGCAGACAAAGTAGTGATTTTGGAAGCTGAAACACAATCAGTTGTTTTATTAGATTTCAGTAGGTATGAAAGAAATTTTCCTCGGACCACAGTTCCACCACAAATAGTCATTTCCAGCATGAAAAAAATGTTCAGAAGTTTTTACTTGAAATGAGGTTGTGTTGCTCTTGAAATGTAAGATATCAAAAGGGTAGTTTCATTTGCTGATACACGGTATAACACATAGCAACCACAGAGGAAGTAATTGCCTATCTAAACTGTGAGAGAAAAATGCAGTACTTGATGGATTGGGGTATGTATGTCAGTGAAGTGAGAGGTTTGTCACACACTGGCTTTTTGGATTGCATAGTGCTGGGCTCTGCCATAAAATAAGAGCAGCATGGTAGAGCCTGGGGTAATGGCACAGCCAAAAGCAGGTGTGCATGCCACGTGCCACTGCAAACAGCTAGTGAAGGAGCATGCAAAATACAGCCCTCTCTCAAATACACCATGCTGCTTTAGGTGTATCTCAGTAGCCGAGAGCATCTTGACTATCATAATCACCTGACGCGTAACCTGAATATGCATCCCTTGTTGATGTTTGTGTACCTAATGAGTCCTCAGATTGGTTGGACAGAGGTGACAGTATGTGCCAAGGAACACAGCGGTCAGTGAGAGGACGGGTTAACGAATCTTACCTGGAATTATCAATGCACAGAAAAGATTCTTTTCCTTGTTCAAACCAGCCTTGCTGAAGTCGCACATAGCACAGGGGACCTTAGTACCTCTGCTGCAAAGTAATCAATCAAATTTTGCAACTCTTTGCAATGAATATCAAGGCACTTGAACCAATTGGAACCAGTTTGATCCAGTTTAGACTGGTTTGAATGGGTTGGAACCACTTTGATCCTGTTTTAATTGGCTTGGTCCAGTTTGAACTCATTTAAAATGCTTTAAAAAGCTGATAGGACTTTTCAAATCCAATATACCTTCTCATTGATGGTTTTGCAACTCCAGATGCTTGGGCAAGAAAACACACTGAAATCAAATTCACCACTATACAAGTTACAGAGAAACTTTTTAAATGTTAGATTTTATAGTCTTTTACTGTGGCTATGTAATTTGGATTTGTGATTTCTTGAACTTACCTGGAAACCTAGTGAAGGTGACACCTGTTAGGCTACTTAAGCCACTTTCCAATGAAAATTCTTTGACACCTGACATTTCTGTCCAAGTACGAAAATTGGAGATTAATATTTGCTTCAGATGAGTTTATGAAGGGTATGGAGTGATTTTTAAGGACATCAAAATTGACAAAAAGATACACTTACATTACATGTACTTTTAAGTCACAGACTTTTCTAACAGCTGGAAAACACCTTCCCAGCCAGGTTCTATCAGGGAAAAAAAACCCCAAACCAAAAACCAAACAACTTTTGGAATAAATCCAGGCAATTTGCACTTTCTAATCCCAAATCCCTGAATTATATCAGTCATTTAACTCTGGTGTCAAATGTCAAATTTATTAAGCTGGGATAATAATTCTGTTTATCTCATAAGGAGAAAAATAAAGAGCCCTTGGACAGACTTGCTCCTGAATAGGCAAAATCCATTGCAGAGGCATTAGGGCTGGCCCAGTCACAAGTGTTGTTTGACAGAGTATATTGGATCACTGAGAAAGCTGTGATGCAGACACATGGAGCATCCCTGGATGCCCTTTCTTACACATAATGGAGCATAAAAAGAGTTGAAAGAATATTTTCCAGAGAAGATCCCTATCTAGTTATTTGTTGCTGTTGCCTGAACCATCTTCTCCAGGTCAAGGTATACCCATTTCCAGTAGAAAAGTGATTACTGAACACCTCAGACTGGAGTACCTTTGTTCCTCCGTTGTCCACCACACCTTGGGTACTGGAAAAAAGACTTTCTTTCTCCATAAGCTGAGAGCTTGTGGTCCCTGTGCCATCACTTCTGTCACAGCTGTGAAGCAGCAATGCTCCCCCTTGCACCTACTCCAGGGCAGAGAGGCTGACAGGTTGGCAGCCACCAGGGATCCCTGGCAGGGCTGCAGGGACATATTTTGAAATTGGGATGGACTTATTTAATGAGGTCACTGAGCTACTAACTAGAAACTAAGTCTGGAACTATAGGTATTACTCCTGGGAAGCTCCAAAACATCAAAAATAAATTAACTCCAATTAATGGAGAAGCAAGCCCTCCCTCTCTCATCCCTTGTGGCAAGAGATGTGCCCGTCAGCTGGTGCTGCAATGAATACATCTTCCATGTGTGACATCTTTCAGGGGCCTCTCTTCTTGCCTCTGAAAAGTTTCCCCTAGCACAGGGGAAAGAAATACCTCAAAAAAGAGAGATGCTCCCAGCTTACGGAGTTACAGCAAAACTGGCAAATAGATATCATACATGGGGAACTGTTCTGTTGACGACCAACCTGAGCCTAAAGGCTAGGGAGTATGAAGCCAGGGATCACTGTAGGGAATGCCTGCAAACAAAAAAGCTCTTGTTCAGGACTCACGTTCCCCTTTGAACATGGTTAAAAGTTGAGAGTTTCCTTTTCACCACTTACACAGCCTTAGGACTTAACTCACGGATTTTGGCAGAGCCTTTATATTTCCTAAACTATGCTGTATTGTTCGAAGCTGATGGGACTCACCCCCTTAAAGGATGTAGTACAGTCAGGAGATGGAGGGGTGGAGTGCTCCAGTTGGAGATTACTGCTAACAGTTACTGGATAAATCAGCCTGTTGGGCTTGAAACACAGCCTACTCGGGGCACCTTCCAGGCATGCCCAGGTATGCTGCTCAGAACAATAACTGCCCTTTTTTCTTGCTCTGTGCCTACACAAAAAAAAAGCAACAAACAAACAAACAAAAAAACCTTTGCTTTCCTATCACACTGCAGCTTTGTGTAAGCTGCTGTGTAGGAGAAAAAAATGCTGCCCCCCAGACCCTGAGATGGGAACAGTCTGGGTAATTCCCTGGGAAGGGCGTTAAAGTCAGGGGGCAGGTGCAACAGAGCCTCCCTGGAGGCAGGCAGCTCCCGTGGCCCCCGGGAAACCCTCCTGCAGCATCAGCAAGGCTGCTGTTTTCTTGTGTGGAAGGGGGGGGGGAGGGGAAGGCAAAGCCAGAGTGACTGGGAAGATCCCAGGCGCACCTCCGAGGAAAAGAGCGCTCCTTGTCTCTCATGCAGCCCTGCTTTGAGAGAACTTCTGGGCTGGAGAAGGCAACCTTCCTTGGAGTACTATGGTGTGGGGAGGGCTGTGGAGCAACAGCCCCTGGCATTGACACACCTGGTGTGTGAGGTGCTGGATCTGCTAATGGCTGCAGACAGGCTGCCTTGGCTCTGCAAAGGGAAGGACAACTTCAAAAAAGAAAAACCCAATGGAAACCAAAACAAACGTAAAAGCCCCAACAAAACCCTAAACCATTAAAAAAAGAAAACAAAAACCCAAACCCAAACCCTAGAAAGCAACAGTAAAACCAAATCGAGCCCTGGCTGAACAGCAAACCTGAGGTGTAGGCACTGCTACCCCACTGAGTGAGATTTGGTGAGTACGTGGTGAAGGCAGAGGCCAGGAGACAGCTTTTTAGGGGTGGAAGGGTAAGGTCTGGCAGGGACCGACCCCAGCCTTAAGAGAGAAGGCCCTGGAGGACAAACGGCGAGACGTTTCCCACGGATGGTGGGTTCTCCAACAGCTCTCCTGGTGCTCGCTCTCTCCCCCTGCCCTCTACCCTGCTGCTTATGGGAGAAGACGGGTGACGCCCGGCCGGCACGGGGCTCCCCACTCTGCATTTTATGGTTCCCTAAAGATGTCCTGGTCCTTCAGAACCCTGTAGGTGCGTGTGTGGGGGTGTCAGGCCCACGGGAACAGCGTGGGGAAGAAGGAGCCGGTGTAGAGGGGTCCGGCTAGCGCAGCCCCGGCTCCCGCGTCCGCTCCCGGCCGTATCTCCGGGGCGGGCTGGGGCGGGGGTGCGAGCGCGTGTTTGTGCGTGTGCGGGCGCGCACGTGTGCGCACCACCATCCGCGCGCGACTGTACCCGCGGGTGTGCGCGCAGGGGGCGCGGGCGGGGGAGGCGAAAGGGGGCCGGTTTTGCGGCGGGTGGCTCCCAGCCTCCCCCGCCCCCTTCCCTCTGGGTCCGCTCCTCGCTCCAGCTCGCATTTTATCGCAGGCGGCCGGCGCAGCCCCCTCTCCCCAGCCCCGGCCCCGGCCCCGGCCCCCGCCCACCCCCGGGGTGGAGGCAGCAGCGCCGAGCCGCCCGCGGGAAGAAAGCAGCGCTCCGCCGGCTCCGCGCCCCTCCGCGGGGCCATGCAGCGCCCCTGTGCCCCCGGTACGAGCGCAGCCCCTCGCCCCGCCGTCCCCCGCGCCCCCTGAGCGCCCCGCGGGGGCTCCGCGCCGCTCCGCGCCCGGCGGTGGGACGGGGCCGGCACAGGCGGCACAGGAAAGCTCCGCGGCTCAGCGCGACTGCCCCGCTCCCCCGGCCATGGGGAAGGGGCTGGAGGGGACGGCGGCCCGCTGCGGGCTGGGACTGGGATACCTGCTGCAGACGGTGGTGCTCCCCGCCCTGGCCGTCCTGGGGGCCAGCCGCCCCGGCTCCGCGGCGCAAGGTAAGGCGATGGATGGATGGATAAGGGTTGGGGCGTCCTCCGCGTGCGGGCGAGATATGCGAATTTATCCCGTTACTCTCCCTCCCCCCCCGCGTGTTTGTATGTGCAAACAGTGCATTCCCCCGCATGCACGACCCCCGCCGGGGTCCGGCCTCACTGGCCGAGTCGGTTCTGCCGGTGCTGAGCCTGGCCGGGACAGGCGTTTCCCTGCACTCTGTCCTCAAGTGGGGCACGGGGAGCAGAGGGGGAAGTTTGGGCTGAAGGAGCCCCGCCGACAGAGCTCCGGGGCGGGAGAGGGGTGCCGGTGCGCCCTGGAGGGCTGGCAAGGTGCGTGGGAAAGGCAGGTGCGGGGCGGGTGTCCCTCGGCAGCGGCGCAGCCATGCCCCGGGGCTCTGCATCCGACGGTCATTCTTGAACCCCCTCATCGCCCCCCACACCCTCCTTCTTCCTGCCTAGAACATGATATACCCGAAGGGAGTTACCGTCTTTCTGTGTTTATGTTTTGGGATTTTGTTTCCCCTCCCGTGTCGGGGATTCTGGAGTACATCTAGATCTGCTTGCCCTGTGGCCCGTGTATAAATTCCTCTTTCCAAGTGACAATGTCCTGATTCTCAGTGCGTGTTTAGGGATGTTTGAGAGCATCACAAAGAACGCTGACACAGTGTGGCACCCACCCGGCAGACAGCCACAGCAGGAGGCTTTTTCTCCTGCGAGCTGATGCTGGACAAACTTTCTCGGTGCTTTTCTTCTTTCTTCCCAGGAGTTAGACTTAATGTGGAAATGTGTTGCTTTTGTGGTGGACTGGAGAGAGAGAAAGGTTGTTGCTGCATGTGGGCAAAGCTGCATACAGCAAGGATGTGTGGGCTTGCTAAAGCACTTGGAAATCTCAGTTATATGGCTAACAAGAGAAAAGGAATTTTAGAAACTGTTTTGTTTTCGGGGGGTTTTGTCCATATATGTAACCAAGCAGTAATAATATGCACCAGAGTTTTGATTTAGGCTGGCTAGCATAATGCAAGTGTAAGAATGCTTGGTTTTTCCCCACATCATTTCTATGAAGAGGCACCTGTGAAAACTGCACAGATCTGACTCTGTGCTCTCACCTAGGCATTACAAAGTGTACTCTCCTGTGTGGCCTTTCTGACAGGAGAGCAGTGCTTGTTGCTCTGTGTCTCAGTGCTCCTGGCAGGCTTTTGGGAGCTATAGGCTTGCTGCTGGTGGGCTGGATGCACTGAAAATCATGTCTGTGCATGTAATGGTGTTAATCCATTTCCTACTGATACTTACTCCATCCTCAGAGTCACATCCTCTTGCTCATACCAGGCATTTATCTCATAGGAAGATCAGAAATCTGGTCATAAAAAGGGGGTAGCAGAGAATGAAAGTACAAAAATGTCCTATACATTGTGCCACGTTTCATCTGTGTCTTACATACTGTTTCCTTTCCCTGGTTGGTTTCATGTTCAAGATAGGACAGGTTTGATGTTTTGTATTTAAAGCTTTTAATAGTACCATGTGCATGTAGACCTAGATGTCAGTACATATCAGTCTGTGTTGATGGGGGGTGTTGAAGAACATCCGTTCAGATAGTTGGACCTGGAGTGGAAAGGAGCCTGCCTGCTCTGGTAGCAGGATATGGGAGGTTGCATGACAGATGGCCTGAGTGGGGAAGAGAGGACCCCCTGCGTTCGGCTGTTTCAGAGCGCTCATCTCAGTGCCACAGGGCGTACCGCACACTCTCGGATGGTTTCTCCTTTCCACACTTACCCTCCGTAACACAACACTGTGTGCCAGAAATGCCATGAGGGGAGAGGAGCCAGGCCCCTTGTGCCTGCACTGCAGAGGGTGACTCGTGTGGGACCTGTCAGAGGACGCAGGTGTGCTCACCTACCCAGAAAGGGACAGAGAGCTCTTCATGAACACTTCCCAAAGTGCAATGTGTGATAAACTTCCACAGCACAGTAGAAAATCCAGGGAATGTTGTAGGGATATAGCTATTTGTCTTGGGCTTGTTTTTCCATGTTTACTTTTATTTATATTTTCCATTTGCTAGGAACAGGCACAGAATTTGGGTGCAGGTTTTGGCATTTTTCCCAGAGCTGAGGGATTTTCTGGTTGGAGTGTGCAGTGGGGATCTTCATATATGTGTGTATGTGGTGCTTCAGCGAGGCAATGAATCAACAGTTTAACTATGCCCTCTTCAGGAAGTTTCCTCATCATATAGCACTGGGCAAAGTTTTCCCTCTATTTTATTTGTATGTTTCAAAAACATATATGTTTCATCTCCATTCCCGAACTGTCTTTATCTTTTGAAGCAGGCTAAGAAAGCTATGGGCATTGCTGGGACTTCTGCTTTCATGCTTTCCTTTTCATTGCCTCGTGGAAAATGAATTTATTAACTGAGTAGCTGGTGAACCAACCCCCCAAGCTCCCTGGCAGATTCATATCACTGCATCTCCTTGTCCTCCTGTGAGCTTCTCAGTGGACCTAAATATGCTTTTTGTTTTACTATTTCTTCTTATCTGAAGCTGTCTAAGTATTTTTCGGCTGTTATCAGGAGAGAACAGGAAATGGCCACAATGATAGAGACAGCCCTTAATTCTCAAAGTGGTGTGAATGAGGCCAGAGCGATTATCAAGCCAGAATCAACTCTGGTCTGGCATTTCACTGCATTCACTATCCTCTATGATAAGCTACATCAGAATGAGAATTTAAATGTCTCAAACTGTGCCCGTGCCTGGCACTTCAGTGCCATCTCCATAAGGGCAACTTTTCCTTTGGCTCTTCAATCAGCAGCGACTGGGTTTCAGCTGTTGTGCTTTCCTACTCCGCCCCACTTCCCACCTCTCAAAGTGCTACCCACTTATACTGTGGCTCTCACCTTTTTAGTGTGTAGGTGGGACGAAAGGCAGAGTCAGGCTATCTATCCGTTGTGACAAGCATGGTTCAGACAGCTTTCTGGGTTAATAACAGTGGTGTAAAAGATGGATAGAAAAGCTAAAGGGACTATGTATTAATGAGGTTGTGTTTCATTTGTTCCTTTACAATAAAAGAGTGCATTTTTTTATGCTTAACCCCTCAAACCTAATTAAATCAAAGTGACAATTTAAAAAGAAAACTGTAAAGGAGCCATATGTGCAGATATTTTTCTTGCCCCAGCATAGTCTGTATTAGCAACAACAGCAGTTTGAAAATGCTTAGTGCAGAAAAAGTGAAATATAACATGTGAATGTACTAACCTTTTGGGGATGCGTTTCCTAATTAAATACCTAAACACGTCTTGTTGAAGAAAGGGGGGGAAAGGACTTAATTATTTTGATGCATCAGTAGATCTCTTGTATTTGATCATGTGGGTGTAATAGTATTTGTATTAATAAAGCAAGAGCCAAGTAGTATTTTGTTGTGTATGAATAAGGCCCTTTGAAACATTAATCTGTTTTAAAGCAATGTACTGTGGCAGATTTCAATGATGTTGACAAGTTTGAGCTGGCTGTGGCAGTCTGCATTGGTCCTGAGTAGCATTTTAGTACGGCAGTACTCGTTGCTGAAAGCAAAGCAGACACAAGGTTTTCTTTGCTGACTGAGGTGCAGTTTAAGCAGGATTAAAATTAAGTGGATGGATCTGTCCGCAGAGGAGTGATTCCCCCCCGGGAACATGGGAGTCAGAATCTGGGCTCTTCTTCCTCTGGCTCCAGGCTCTAGCAGCTGGTTGCAACAGTTATGGAAAAAGTATATACATCACATCCTTCTGATGGCTCTTCAGCATTACTGTCAGTGTCATCTATTCCTTTGTACAGTAAGAATGCCAGACATTTCCACAGTTGTTGTGCATGTTTGCACTTAATCATTTTACATGGATCACTCACTACACAACTTTATTTTTCTTTGGTAACGGTCTCAAACCCCAGTTATTCACTATATTTTGGGACTAGCTTTGTGTGTGACATCCGAATTCAGAAATAGGAAACAGCATTAACCAAATGAAAAATATTTTCCTAATTTAATTTTCCAAATACAGTACATCTGAAAACAGGAATACAACTCTGTGCCAAGGCCAGGCAAATCACTTCCATAGCTGGTCTGTGCACTAAGAGAGGAGAAAATGTAGATTATATTTATTAGATATTTCCAGGTAAATATCTTTATCTTTATGCAAATTGAAGAGAGGTCTTTTGAGGCACAGTCTGACCAGTTCAGTTGAATAAGATACAAAACAACATCAGTTCCTATGGAAGGTGAGAGAAGCCCAGGCTGAGTAGGACAACAATTTAGTATTTCTGTACAGTATACAACCAGAGTTTTGTGCACAAGTAAGACACTAAGGAGAGTTATACTTTGAAAAGTGAAGCTACATTTATGTCATGCTACCAGCTAAACAATCTTGTTCAGAGTAACCCGGTTATAGTGTATGGCTATATTTGTTGATTTCTGGTTCTTTCTGGATTTTATATCATCAGACTTCTGAGGAATCAGTTCTGGTTACTTTTTCTGCAAAAAGGCATAAAAAACTACTTCAGCAGCTCATCAGAAAAATATGTTTGAATTGCTGTTGCAAAGGGGAATTCCTGGGTAGATTTGCATTGCTCAAAGTAGTGAACAGTTTACTGTGATTTAGTCAAAGAGTATTGGACTCAATGTGAGTCTCAAATGCTCAGATTATTGGTTTGTTACTGCAGGCTATCTTTGAAAAGAAAGTTAATGTAATCATGGATGTTCTGCCTGTGCAATATATTTTATATAACTATCTATATGTCCCTGTAGGAAAAAATGACATTACTTTTCCTTCTTTCCTCCCTTTAGGGTGGGGAGAGGGCTGTGCTACTTTGTGGAGTGCACATCTTGTTAGCCACCCAGTGGAGGTATTCAAGTCTAGCAGGCAGTGATCTTGGCATCGGTGCCAATAAAGCAGTAATTACACCGTCTGTCATTTTCATTAGCTGTCTTTGCTCCACATTTGACTTGGAGGTATAAAACAGCTTTTAAAGTATAAGTCAAGAATT